GGTGGAGTTAGGGATACTTACTATTTGGGGAAACAGGAAGGGGCCACTGCTGAGGGAGCTGAGACTGGAGTGGGTGAAAAGCTGATAGTAGGGAGCCAAGAGCACTGGCCTGTCAGGTGCTGCTGGGCTTTGGCCCATTTGCTGGTGCATCATCAGAAACGTTCCCACTGATGTATGTCAACCCAAGCCACAAGGAGAAAAGGGGCCTGTGCCTCTAAGAGTTAAAAGTGGCACAGTAAGATTTGGTTACATATGAGGATAATCCCCTCACCTAGAGTTGGAGAGGTCATCTAAATGGAGACTTGGGGAGGCCTAGCTATCTTCTATAGCATCCATGCCAAATCATCACCCCTACCTGCCCCTTGTCTTTCTTCTTGTCACATGAAATATCCCCACTTCTGTTCTTCGTACAACAGTGTTTCAAGACTCTTCATCATCCTGTTTTTCGTCTTCTAAATGCGGTCCAGTCTGGGTATTTTAGCTCTTACACAGTGGGGCCCAAATCTTCCATGTGAGGTCTACCAGCTAAGAGGAGAGTTGTGTTACCACCTTCTTCAAATATTAGCTCACAATGGGATTATAGCTGTTTTTTCCTTTTTTTGAAAATCCATATTCAATTATTGGCTAAATATATTTTTCATTAGTCAATCCTATGCATATATTCAGTTCTCTACTGTGCTCGATTCTGAATAATTAGGAAGAGTTGTTTATAAAGGAAGTAATGGAGGTATTGGAGTAAAACAACCTTATAACTAGAGACTTCAAAACAGCCAGAGAAAAAAAGGCTGAAAGATATTGTTTTTACCCTGCCCTTTCTTCTGCCACATATTTTTTCCTTATCAAAAGGAAGATTCAAAAGAACCTGAAAGTGAGGAAATGAATTTTCTAAAATCCGGGTGGAGATTTCAAGTTTTTAGCAGGTCATGTGATACTCACCAGGCCTCTTACAAGGTATTGGCCCTCAGGGCCCTTTTTCTCTCATCTCAGGAGCTCGAACATGACCAGGAAGATCTTCACAAATACCAGAGAACGGTGGAGGCAGCAGAATGTCAACAGTGCCTTTGCCAAGCTGAGGAAGCTCATTCCCACTCACCCTCCAGACAAAAAGCTGAGCAAAAATGAAACGCTCCGCCTGGCAATGAGGTATATCAACTTCTTGGTCAAGGTTTTGGGCGAGCAAAGCCTGCAGCAAACAGGAGTGGCTGCTCCAGGAAATATCTTGGGACTCTTCCCCCAAGGACCCCACCTGCCAGACAGGACTCTACTTGCTGACTACCAGGTCCCTTCACCTGGCCCAAGCCACCACATCCCTTAGCCTGGCTCTGACTTATCACCCAGGGCAGCACTTGTTCAGAAGTGACTGGCTATCAACAGCCTTTTTCATGTTGCAGAGTCAATTTGAGGAATAATTTGTGGCATGAATTTAAGCTTCATAGACAATGGCTTAGGGACAGCTGCAGGGAGCTGAAAGAAGGTCCTAAGTAATGTGGCTTTGGAGTCTGCCACCCACTGGGCTTCAGGAAGAGCAGCCAGTCTCTATTTTATATATCCAGGATCTGCATAAGATGTTTTTTGAAGAAAAAAAAAAAAATCATAGGTTAAAAAGAGGTTCGAAAAGCATTGTTTCACTGAACACGTTTTCAGTTATAGGGAAGGAGTTTTCTTGTAATGCACCTCAGATAAGTAGAAAGTGCTCCCCTCAAAACATATTCAGAGTTTTGCAAAATGAGGCATATTTGATCAAGGGTGAACAAAATAAGTCTTCAGGTTGACAGATGTAAAAATAGCCCTTGCAGAAACCAACCTGGAGCCTTGTGGGAAAATCTATGGAGAAAAGACCCTGCTGGCATGTGAGGATTACAGGCACACAGCAGATACATGTGGAAGAGCTCTGCATCCTTTATCTCTACGGAAATGTGAGGTGTCACTTGCATCAAGTCATTTCTATACGTGTTATCGCTAAAGCCAAATGGTGGATTATATCTGAGAGGAAAGGACTTGATAATTCATGAATTAGAGTTTATAGTTTTCCTTATGAAAAACAGCTAAAATAGGTTATCTAATCCCTCACTTTCACAAGTCAGGTATTAAAATATCTAATTCAGCCTGAGTTCCTACTGATTTAAAACCTGTAAAATTCAAATATAATTATGAAAATCCAAACATTACCATGTAATGACTCATTTAACAGAGAGCTTAGTTTAAACAAAAGATTTAGAGTAGACAATAGGAATGTAATACCAGATGCTAATGAATTAATGAATGTGTAATTTGTCTTTCCTGCTATGGAGCATTAGCTCAATCTTATGTCGGGAGGGGGTGGTACCCACAAGTCAATGGAACAGTGTGCTTCTGGCAAAGCCCACCACCACATGCCACCCTGATGATGCTTGGATTCAAAGATGAATCCTATAGTTAAGCCCAGAATACAAATAATATTATTTGATTGTCTCTGGAACATTTTATTTCCCCAGCGTTCTTAATGGTATATTGGTTTTAAAGCCTTCTGAACCATGTGTAGAAAATTGGTGGATTTGCGATTATGGATATCCTGTGCATACACAACAGAGGAATTTAAATTTCCTGCCACTCTAGAAAGAAGATTTTTGATTTATGAAAAGTTGAAATGAGCCTCTTTGGTTTTGTGATCAGAAGAAAACTGGACGAAACCCCCTCAAAATCTCATTCTCTCAAAATAGTAGGGCCATTACATTACATCATTAAATTTTATACAGCAGTCACACTTGTAGCACATTATGTTTACTGGAAGCAAATTCCTTCTAGGTCCTTTCTTTAAACTATATTCAGTAAACTTCCCTATGGACCCAGAACAGTTCAGGGAAGCACATGAGCACAGAGACCACAGGATTTCCCCCAAACGTGTATTTCTTCCTCATGAGCCTATGTGGACTTAAGTTCATCCCCAGACTTCCACAGATTTGATGATAGTTGTCCATTGAGCAACATTACTTACTCTCTCATCTGGCAGTAAATCAAAATAACACTTTTCGGCAGTATTTTTTATTCAGTTCATTTTAACATGTGGCCAAGAAAGGCACAGAGGACCTCTTTGCCTTGTTACAGGATTTTATTACCGTCCTCAGAATGAGGATGCTTTTCTGCTGTTGGTGTCATATCTATGCCACTGAAATGTCACAGAGTGCTCCTGAAAATTTGTGAGGAGATTGAGTTATCATTAAATTATATAAGGGGGAAATTATTTAAAGAAACCCTGCAGGAAATCCCTTTGATAATGAATAAACAGTTAAAGTATTTCTTTATGTACTTTACCTCTTACATAATTTTTTTGGTAAGCTTGGATTTTGGTATATCAAGTTGTGTTAGGTTAAAGTGACTGTCGAAAGAAGTTGTAGGCAAGTGTGGACCAAAGCCTTTGCAAGGTGGCCTTGAGATTGGAAGCTAATTTAAAAATCACTCTATAGTCTTGCTTGGTGCCCTGTACTTAGGTCTTGATGATTGCAATAGTGAGGATTTACAGTTCAAACGTATTATAGTTCACCGATGGTACGTCTCTTTATGGATCATTTGAACCCAACAGAAGAGTTTAGATTGATTATATCATCTATGCTACTCTGTTACTTGAAAACAAGTGTTTGGTCTGCTATGGACACCACTGGAAACTTCTGGAAACCAGGTATAAACATATCCAATTAGTTATGTAGATCATTAGATTGGCTAATTCTATGCCTTATATGACAGAGGAGAAAATGGATCCAGAGGCTTTTGAAGAGACTTTCTAGATGTCACATGGACAGTTGGTGGAAATTCAAGACACGGTGCCAGATCTCCTGACTCAGAGCCCAGCCTTTCTACAGCCCTATTCAGTCACTAAGTATTTTAGGGTTGAAAATGGACAAGCACCTTATTATTATGCTCATCTTTTTCCAGGAGTGTTTCATAATCTTCGTATTCCTTTTTATCAAAGTTGAATTATTGTGCTTTGTAGAATGTGATTAGAGATATCTACCAAAGATTTTATTTGTTGTTTGTGAGTTTTCAACTACTGATTCTAATTTATTGAACTATTAATTTATTGAAAATAAATTAAGGAAATAAATTGTTCTTATTTTTCTTTTTAAAAAGAATTTCATACATCAGCTAAGCACATCTACCCATCCTTTCCATCCTCGCAGCCACTCTTCCGGCTTTGAACACTGCCTCCCCCACCACATTGTCTTTAGAAAAAAAATGCCATGTCCTAGCAAACTAGGCCTTCTGCAGCCTGATCCCATTGTACCCTTTTCTTTACCTTCCACAATCTCTTAAATATATTGTACATACTAATGAAACTACTTCACTCGATGGTCCCCAAACATGCCCCACTCTTTAATACTTCTGACTTTACTCATGTGATTCCATCTTGCACAAATGTTCCCATTCTCACTTGTTCTATTCGCCCCTCTGCCTGCACCAGATTCTGCTTGCAAAAATCCTTCATGTCTGATCTTAAATGCCACTCCTTCAGGAAGCTTGACTCATCTTAAACACCATTTCTTACATGAAGTCCTCCTAGATTTCCACCATTCAATCTAATCTCTTCTTTCTTAGAATCCCCTTATGTCCTTCATGGTACTTATTTCCTCTGCCTGTGTTACAGATATTTTTGTAAGGTCTGTCCCTCCCTCCACCCCAAGCTAAAATCTTGAGGACAGCAACAGTTTCTAACATTTAAGCCATACAGCAGCCCTGCAAATGACCTCACATTCAAATTGAGAAAACTATATCGAGACTGTTAAGAATACTCCTCTAGCCTCTCCTAAAAGATCACATTGAAATGAAATGAACAGGCTGAATTTTCCTGAGAAACCAAAAGTCTAAAAGCTCTTCTTAAAAGTTTGTTTCTCATGATATCCATTCAACATGGCCCTTGGAGCACCTGCCTTATGAGGTTACATCACCTGAGAATGGCTTGAGATGACCAAAATATGTATAAGTTAAGCACAACAGGCTTTGTTCTTAAAAAGGCAAAAGATGAAAGGGGTCTGGGAGAATGGACAGCTTAACTGCTGACCCTCAGGCCAAAGGTTACTTAAAAGTCACATTCTTAAATTCAAAGGTCATAGATAAGTAGGGACTCTAAAAGCTCAATGGCAATGCAAAGTGAGGGATTTAAAGTGGCAGGTGTTACAAAATGCCAAGAAATGAATGTAAAGGATTACAGGACGCCAGGGGCAAGCTCTTCTAAACTGAATTTACACTTCCCGTGATTCAGAGTTTACTATAAACAGGGAAACTTTGCCTTTTGTTTTCTCTTTATCCCTAATGACCTATCACAAAGAGATTTTAAAGAGCACTGGATTTTTACATAAGCCTTAGTTAGTTTTGTAATTTATCAGATAATTTATACTCTAAGAATTTAATTTCCAGAGCTCAAGAATTCCCTGGCAGTTGAATGAAACAACTTGTTGAATTGCCTTTTTGGATAACTTTAAAAAACAGGATTGTTCAATATGTACATACACTTGGTCCTGGTTAATTATCCTTTTAGGAACCTATCATAAAGAAATAATCAGATTTATGGTAAAGAATTATATATGTATATCTATTTTTAGAAACTTACAATGTAAGTTTAAATAAAATAAAATTATAATAATAATAGTAAGAGCCAAGGTTCCCTGAGTGCTTACTATATGCCAGGCACTATGCCAAGAGGGTCCTATGTATCAGCTCACCTAATCTTCATAACAATGTTCTATTGTTAATAACATATTGGTTACATGTATTGTTCTCACTTCACAGATGAGGAAACTGAATTCTAAGAGATTGTTTACTTTGTCCAAGTTTTTACTGCAGAGCCAGAATTTGACCATCAGTCATTTTTACTCGAAATCACTGCTTTTCACAGACAGAATTTTTTTTTACATCAGCGTTCTTAATTTTCTTTGATTCTAACCACCTTAATGGAATCCCATCGACAAGGCATATTCCCCAATAACACTATTGGGTAAGCAAGCACAACCCTGAAAAAACAAAGTATACCGTTCAGAAGCACCCACCCGGAGTAACACCACGATGAGATACCGTGAGTGGACCGTCCTGCAGAAGCAGGCTTGAAGGCGAGCCTGCGGGAGTGACTGGTTTGTTGTCGTCTGGACTGGTGGGGTGCCAGCATGAAATTGCTTTATTTTTTCCCAGTCACTGCCTTCAGCCATGCTCCGCCTAATCTTCCTTTCCCATTCTATAATGGCATGTCAGGCAGAGCCCATGCCTTTCCAGTGTTTCTGGAATAAAAAGTTCGGGCCTATTCAAAAGCCCATCTCATGTCCTTTCCACCTCTACCCCCACCCTGGCTCTAGCGCGACCTATGGCTCAGGACACTGGCACTTGTGAATGTGTATGGAGTGTGTGTGTGTGTGTGTGTGTGTGTGTGTGTGTGTGTGTTTACACACAGGGTGGGAAATCTGCTCCTTCACTTCCACCTGTCCTGGTTTCAGCTCCTCTGAAGTTGAGGAGGGAGGAGGATCTAAGGAAATGGACAGTGTTTTTCTTCATTGTGTACGGGATTGCATTTTCTTCCTGTATTCGGTTTAGACTATTTGTATCAATTCTTTTTAACTAGTGATACAAGTCCTAGGTTTAAAAACACTGGAACAACAGTGGTCTTCACTGAGAACTCGCTCCTCTCAGGGAGCATACTCTGTCTTTTATTTCTTTTATATTTTCACCTCCTAAATTCCACAGGGCTACAGCCTTCCTTAGCATAGCCCATCTCCTTCTAAATTATACTTTTAATAAATCTTACTTCTAAATCTCAGGAAAGAAAAAACACTGGAACATCCGAGAGTTAAGCCTCTTGGGTTCAG